AGCTCCAGACACTTGAAAAAGGAAAACTACAAGCAAGTAAGTGCTGCATTTACAATCCAATTCACTGAAAGATGGCAAGTGCTTCAGATATGAAGTTCACAATAGCAAAGCTCAACAACACCAACTACCAGCTATGGACGTTTAAGCTTGAAATGCTGTTATCCAAAGATGACTTGTGGCAGGTACTAGATACACACAGACCCAATGACAACCCAGAAGAATGGGACAGAAAAAACAGGCAAGCAAAAGCAGTCATAAGCCTGTTAGTGGAGGATGATCAACTCATTCATATAAGGAAAGAAAGCACAGTTAAAGGTATGTGGACTGCATTACAAAAGCTGCATGAACGTGCAAACCTAAACAGTAAACTATATCTGCTACGCAAACTGTACAAGATGAGGCTGGAAAAAGGGCAGGAAATGGGTGAACATGTAAATGCTATGCTAGAAATTGTGGACCAGCTGGGTGCAATAGGTGAAGATTTAAAAAGCAACCATGTTCTGTCGCTACTTCTGTGCAGCCTTCCAGAATCATACAGTGCCCTTATAAATGCTCTAGAAACTAGACCGGAAACTGAAACTGACGCTAGAATATGTTAAGGGAAAATTAATTGATGAATACAGCAGTAGAAAGGAAAATTTGCATAGTGAAGAGAACGAGAGACCAGAGGCAGCTCTGAAGGTGCATGAAGGCATAAGACAAAGCAAAGAAACCAGGGTATGTTTTCGCTGCAAAAAGGCCGGTCACCTGAAAAAGAACTGTTCAATCTGGAAAGCTGAGCAGCGAAAGCGGGAGCTACCCACAAGAGAAAGAGCTAAAGCAGTCATGAAAGAAAATGAAAGTGCATCATGGAGTGGTACTTTTAAAGTGACTCAGAATAGTACTTCACACGGATGGTACATTGATTCAGGGGCAACAAGTCACATGACAAGCGACGAGACATTCTTCACAGAAATTGATTTTAGTGTAAAAGATAAAGTCTTCCTAGCAAATGGGAAAAGTATTACAGCAGAAGGTAATGGTCAGGGATTTCTGAACTGCAAAACACCATCAGGGGGCAAGCAGAGCATCCTTGTAAAGAATGTTCTATATGTTCCAAGCCTAGAAGGAAGCCTCCTATCAGTTTAAAACCCTTGCAAGCAATGGACTCACTGTCCAGTTCAGAGGTAATGAATGCACAATTCAAAATGGAAAGCAAATCCTAGCAAGAGGAAGATTAAATGAACATCTGTACAAACTCATCACTGAAAGTGAGAAGGCTAATGCGGCAACTCATAACCCACATGACAAGTGCATCCACCTGTGGCATAGAAGATTGGGGCATCGAAACCCAGAAGCTATAAAGGACTTTGCAAAGAGAGGTCTATCAGAAGACATGAAAATATTGCCTTGCCACACACTCAGCAAGTGCACGTGTTGCATCAAAGCAAAGGCCCACCCGAACCTCTCTTCCACAGACCAGTCAGATTAAAACCATTAAACCCATGGAACTGATACACAGTGATGTGTGCGGACCAATGAAAACCATCACACCTGGCGGGAACAGATATTTACTGACTTTCATCGACGATTATTCCAGGTACACAATAACGTATCTAATGAAGCACAAAAGTGAGACATTAGAAAAACTTCAAGAGTTTGTAGCTATGACAAGCAACAAGTTTCAAAGGAAACCTGGAATAATACGCACTGACAATGGAGGGGAATATATGAATAAAGAGATGGAATCATACCTAAAGAAACAAGGTATTATACACCAAACAACTGTACCATACACTCTGAGCAAAACGGTGTAGCGGAAAGAAAGAATCGCAATCTTGTAGAAATGACCAGATGTATGATTACGGACGCTGGCTTACCTAACAAATACTGGGGAGAAGCAATAATGACTGCAACATACCTACAAAACAGGCTCCCATCAAAAGCTATTGAGAGTACACCATATGAAATGTGGAATGGATCAAAACCTAACGTAGGACATATCAGAGTATTTGGCTGTAAAGCATATGCCCACATTCCAAGTCAGAAACGCTCCAAGTTGGAGAACAAAGCCATAGAAGGCATTCTGGTCGGCTACAGTGAGCAGAGTAAGGGATATAGAATCCTTTGTCCAAAGACCAACAAGGTCACAGTAAGCTGCAGTGTTTATTTTGATGAAAGTGAAGCACCAGATAATACAATTCTTGAAAAATGTGGAGAGGATTTACACGCTGAATCGGCAAGAGACACTGATTCATGCGAAGCAGGACAAGAGCCAGAACAAGAAGTGGAACTTACAATCAACGATCCAATAGAACCCACTGAACAACAAGAAATCAGAAGATCCTCTCGAATGACAAAAGGGATACCACCCCGCGCAGGTTATCATACGCTGCTAAAACACATCAAACACAGGAGCCAACATCCTGGGGAAGACATAGAAACTTTGCCGAGAAGGGAAGCCGATCAGTGGAGAAAAGCAGCTGAAGAAGAAATAAAATCACTTCAAGAAAATAAAACTTGGTCACTAACAGAACTCCCTCCCGGTCGCAAAACCATCGGAAACAAGTGACTGTTGCACTCTCTTCAACTGAAGCGGAATACATAGCAGCAGCACATGCATGTCAAGAAGCCATTTGGATTCGTCAACTTCTACTAGACATGGGACTGAATATGTCACAACCCACACCCATCTTTGAAGACAAATCAGGGATGCATAAAGCTTACACACTCTGAGAAGATTAACCCAAGAACCAAGCACATTGATGTAAGATATCATCTGCTCAGAGACATGCAAGAACAAGGGGTTATCGACATCCAGTACTGCACATCAGAGGAGATGACTGCAGACGCACTCACCAAACCTTTGCCAAGGGAACGTCATTGTTTTCTACAAAAGAGACTAAATGTCATATAATTATGCACATGCTGTTGAGAAGGGGTGTTGGGAATACAACAGCATGTACTATAATGTACTATATACAGTATTCTGTGGTAATATCACTTGACCAGTAGATGGCACTGTACGCTAAAGGTTACTAGTTGTGTATGTGTAAAACTTGCTGATTCTTCCTCTCTATCATCTCTTCAGGAAGTAATCTGTCTGTAATATATGTCTGCTGCAATGTGCTCTATATGTTTGTAACTTAAGCCACACAAGTAAAGCCTGAATTCTGCTATCACTACCAGTGTCTTCTATAACACATAACCAACAGTCCCCAGGAGACAGCTCTATTAGGCAAAGTAATGTATGAGACTACAAGTCAAAGGATGGATTGTGTGCCACGGGAGGAGGAAAAAGGAAGAAGTCTGGACTGGGGATGTCTCTGATGCAGAGTGACAGTTGGACAATTTCTTTCTACTATATGTTAAATCCATCTGGAAACCTGAGGATAATGTGCAAGCCACATTATCATTGGGGAAGGGGAGGAGTGTACAAAAAGGAGTCTACCCCATCACTACAATGCTCAGAACCTAAGCACAATGCACTAGATCACCCTAATGAATGAGCTCTCCAGGTCTTGTTCCTATAGCCAGCTCTAATCCATGGTCTCTAAAAGACCAGCCAATCCAAATTGCAATTCTAGTTCTAGAAAAAAAAAAAGAATAATTAACATATCTGTCACACTTTCTGGACTTTATGAATAAATGAATGCACAAATAGGTTCTGATTTCATGGGTAAAATATTTTCATTTACAAAACTGACTTTGTGACCTCTAATGCAAAAGTACTTTGGCAGTATCTTTGCTAAAAACAAGGAAATTTGATTGCTTCCTACCAAAAAGAGAACTGGATAAATAGAGACCATTATGTTATGAATAAAGTATAATATTTCTCTTTATTAAACCTGACCTTGCAGCTAAAACTAACTAATGCCTATTTGCCCCTAATTCCACCCATGCCAATTTTCTAGGTCTAAATTAAACCAAAAACCCAACAGCAGTAAAAAATAAAAGTTACTTACCTTGGACACTACTTTAGCCCACTTGCCTTGGTGTTGGTGATGACATTTTCCTTCCCTACAGCAGCCAAAGAAACCTGAGGATCCTAAATCGTGCTCCTGCATTGTCAGTGTAGCCACACTGCCTTAAAAGAGAAGTATGGTATTTTTGTTATTTCCAAAACATACTGTACTTCCCTAGGTGTATGCAAATGCTGTCCCTGTCGATGATCGCTGAGTTCTCACCACCACTGTGAGCCTAGAGTGATGACCACTGTCTGCTGTGCCCCCCCAGCGCTCACTGAAGTGCTGGGCTTTGGAGAGGGAGGGAGCGGGTCTGACTCAGGCTCTCGGCAGATCACTGAGAGACTGAGTTAGGTGCCGCTCCATACTCTGGGGCGGATCTCAACTTTCAATTTGGGATCTTTCCACAGACTGGACTGGCTGAGTGACGTCAGCCCGCTGTCAGCTGAAAATGGGTCACAGGAGTGCAGATTGAACTGTACTCCTGTGATCCACCCATCGTGGAAGAAAAATATATTTTAAAATATATTTTAAAAATATTCTTCCCAAATATATTAACATATATTTGAAATGCTACAATGTTGGCCATATTCAATATATAAAATATATATATATATATATATATATATATATATACTGCATGCTGAAATGTGTTTTTATTACAGAATATATGAAAAATATTTTTAAAAATACATTTCAAACATACTGTATGTCTTTAAAAATACAAATCTACATTTTTGGAATGCATTTACCAATATATGTAAAAATATATGTTAAAATTACTTTTTTATATGTTAAAAAAATCTGAAAAATATATTTAAAAAATATATATTTTTAAAAATATATATTTTTTAAATACCGTAATTTCCGGCATATGAGACAACTTTTTTTTACTTAAAAACATACCCCAACAATTGGGGGTGGTCTTATACGCCGGGTATAGAACCGCTGGCTGTGCGGTAATACTGTATGGTAGCTTCAGCTACATACAGTGTACCGTGCTGAGCCAATCACGGCGAGTGATGTATTCTATTAATGAATACTGTTCCTTAATAGAATACATCACTTGCCGTGGTTGGCTCATATGATGTCCTCCCATTCTCCGCGGATGTGCGGCGATGCGATGTGTCCCTCAGACACAGCGGATCACCGATCATGGAAAGATGTCGGCTCGGTCATGTGATCAGCTGTGTCCAATCACAGCTGATCACATGTAAGCAGGGAAATGCCGGTTATCGGCATTTCTCTCCTCTCGAGCTGTCACGCTGACAGAGGAGAGGAGAGACGGTAATCAGCTTTCCGCGGAGGGGACATGTACACTGATCATCAGGGCACCGATGATCAGTGTGCCCTGATGATCAGTGTAGCCCCAGCAGTGCCACCTGTAAGTGTCCATCAGTGCCAGCTGTCAGTGTCCATCAGTGCCACATCAATGCCACATATCAGTGCCTTTCAGTGCACATCAATGCCACATATCAGTGCCCATCTGAGCTGCCTTTCATTGTCACCCATCTGTGCCAGTCAGTGCCACCTATCAATGCCAATCAGTGCCACCTATCAATGCTGCCAATCAGTGCCACCTACTAGTGCCAGTCAGTGCCGCCTATCAGTGCTGCCTATCATTGCCATGTATCAGTGATGCCTGTCAATGCCCATCAGTGCTGCCTGTCAATGCCCATCAGTGCTGCCAATCAGTGCCACCTATCAGTGTCAGTCAGTGCCGCCTATCAGTGCGCATCAGTGCCGCGTATCAGTGTCAGTCAGTGCCACCTATCAGTGCGCATCAGTGCTGCCTATCAGTGCCAGTCAGTGCCACCTATCAGTGCCAGTCAGTGCCACCTAACAGTGCCAGTCAGTGCCGCCTATCAGTGCCGCCTATCAGTGCCATGTATCAGTGCTGCCTTTCAGTGCCCATCAGTGATGCCTGTCAATGCCCATCAGTGCCACCTACCAGTGCCTCCTCATCAGTGCCCATCAGTGCCACCTATTTCATATGGGTACAGTGCTGCATGACCGCGCAATTGTCATTCAAAGTGTGACAGCACTGAAAGCTGAAAATTGGCCTGGGGGGAAGTGGGTATAAGTGCCCTGTAGGCTAGTGGTTAAATGGTGTGGCCTTGGAAAAGGGGGTAGTCTTATACGGCGAGTATAGCCCAAAACCTCCAGCGCTTCTTATGTTTTAACTGGAAAATTAGGGGGTCGTCTTATACACCCAGTCGCCTTATACGTCGGCAAAAATACCCAAATATACTTCAGATGTTTTTTTTTTAAACATATAATTCCATGATCTTACCGAGATCGCAAATGCTCAAATTTGAACAGGGTCTTAGGATCATCAGCTTTCCCAGGAGGCTGATTAACTATGTGATGTTTTCCTTTTTGTCAGTTAATTTTCAACATTTGAAGCCACCAGCGCCTAATGCATGAAGGTAAATTGATACATAAAACCTAATAGGAGGATTAGACCTCTTTAAGACGGGCGGTTATTCTGCATGTTTGAATTCAAGACTCAAGGCACAGTGAACACTTGCAGTTGTACATTGCGATTAACATACGTGCATTTACATGTGGCTGCGTTTAGCTGCGGTGGAATATTCTTGCCTTTCTATAGCAAATAAATTGGGTTTTTTTTTGGTCCCTTAACTACCCATAGTGCAGCTTTTTGTGCCCTCCCAATTCCTGTGTCTTTGTTCAGTGTGTGCAGTGTCTGCTTCTTTGGTCATTGAGAGGACTTCGATTTGTGCCCTCCCAATTTTACTGAAGTGTGTGATCATGGATTACAGAAGCAATTTGATTGCAGTGCTTATTTTGCTGTTTATGAGGATGAAAAGGAGGGAAACAGATGGATCTGATTCAGTAGAGGAGATGTAGTCTCTACATCTACTACATCCCTTGACCTCCCAGCATCCATCTATTGGTTACTTTGCCCTCATATTTGGAGAAATGAGCACTCACCCAGTTCTGCAATTTTACCAGGATGTTGGTGGAAATCTTCGATCAGTTATTAGACCTTATAACAGGGTGTCTGAGCAGAATGCACACCAACATGAGACGAAGCATTAGTGCAGAAGAAAATCTGTTAGTTAATTTAAGGTAGGTTTCTTCTATATGTTGAATGGATGCTTGAATATATGTGTAATATTTTATCTTCTGTTTTTTCAATTTTGTATTGCAGATACCATGCCACTGGTGCCAGTTTCACCTCCCTGCACCATTATTTTTTAATGGGGATCTCAACTGTGTCAACAATTGTGCATGACACTTGTCCTGTGGGAAGAATTGAAAAACTCAATAATGCCAGAATCAACAACCAGTTTGTGGGAAGAAATAGCTGATGAATTTTGGGAGAAAAACTAACTTCCCAAATTGCATTGGGGCATTAGATGAGAAACATGTCCATCTCATCAAGCCACCTAATTCTGGTTCCTGCTTCTCCAACTACAAAAAAATATTTCCCAATTGTTCTGCTGGGAGACAGTGATATCAATATAAAATTTATAGCTGTGGATGTTGGGGCCTATGGAAGTTCTGGAGATTCTAGAATTTTCTGTAATTCTGTGATGGGTCAGCGTTTCCAATATGGGAAATTTGACATGCCACAATCAAGGCCTCTGCCTGGCGCTGCTGACCCTGTCTCTAGTGGTTGTAGCACATGAGACATTTGCGCTATCCACCTACCTCCTTTGGTCCTACATGAGGCATGGCTCCGATTCCAGGAAACGCATATTTTTATATTGACTGAATACAGCACGCCGAACGGTGGAGTGTGCTTTTGGAATCTGTACATCAAAATGGTGTGTTTTATTAACATCAATGCACCTGAAGGTTGAGCACGCAGTCAATGTAGTTTTGGCGTGCTGTGCTCTGCATAACTTTTTGAGGGTAAAGTAGAATGTGTCCAGTGATTCACCAGAACAGATTCCAAAGGAACCCCAAGGTCATCAGACTGGCACTCGTCCCGGTAATCATGCCCTCCAAAATATTTGACCATTTGGCGGACTACTTTCTTACAGAAGAAGGCCAGGTTCCATGGCAAAATAGCTATATCTAATCTTTTGGTTAAAGATTTTTTTTGTACAATTGTTACTACCACTGCTGTACCATTTTAAAATGTTTACCATTTGCTCATTTCACCGGCCGTCCAGTGTTCCCGGCGCTGGCATCTTCAGTGTGGGCATTCGGCTGTGACAGCTCGCGGCTTCACAGCCAGGTGTCCACTGCGCATGCGTGGGTAGCATTGCACTTTGTGAATGGTCCCATAGTCTTCTGGGACCTGTCCCAGAAGACTACGGGGAAGGTGGGATGGAGGACAACCTCCATTTCCAATTGCCTTGGCGATTGCAGCAGAAGTTAAAGCGGGTACCTGTCAATTTCAATTTTTAAAGAGGAACTTCCCCTTTTCGGTGGAGCTTCGCTTTAAACATTTGACACATAAGCAAACAATTACCTCACACATCAATCAATTCACTCACCACGGTTCTCCTGTTCACTTGTGGACATATCTTCCCAGTTTGGAGTCAGAAATCAGCACACTTCCTCCCATTTCAGCCTCTTTATGACTCTTTCAGAGTATCCTGGGCATCCTGGGTCCCATATCTCTGGTCGTCATGCCCCAATGCTATAATGGCCTCATGAGAGATGTAAGGGGACGACATCGCTCCTCTCTGCTTCTATCCTCCCTTAAACTTCCTGTGTCATTCCCAGGTATCCCTTGTGATTCTGATGAGCTTCCTGTTGATTTTCTTGCTTTTTTACCGCTGCTATCTGCAGATGAAATAGTGCACTGCAATTACCTGCGGTTATGTACAGATAGCTGCGATAAATCGGCCCTGGATGCAGTCAAATTTATTTTTTTCTAAGCGCACATAACTGCAAGTAATGAAACCGTTGCTAAACGCAGTGCGTAATTGGAGCCATAGGAATGCATTGTCTGAGTTTAGCTCCGATAGATAACTTCCCCTATCCGCAGCTAAAAGCAGAATTCTAGCCGCCCGTGTGAACAGTGAGAAAATATTGAAGGCTTTTTTTTATTTTCATCTATTTTAACCACTTGCCCTCCTGAGGATTTACCGCCCTTCCTGACCAGGCAATTTTTTGTGGTACGGCGCTGCGTTACTTTAACTGAGGATTGCACGATCATGCAAAGTTGCACCAAAATGAAATTTACGTCCTTTTTTTCTCACAAATGAAGCTTTCTTTCAGTGGTATTTGCCTGTTCGGTTTTTTATTTTTTGCGCTATAAAAAAAAAGACCAACAATTTTGAGGAAAAAACAATATTTTTGACTTTTTGCTATTAAATATGTCCAGTAAAAAAAATTTAAAAATCAAATTTCATCATAAATTTAGGCCAAAATGTATTCTGCTACATGACTTTGCTAAAAAAAATTCCAATACATGTAAATTAATTGGTTTACGTGAAAGGTATAGCGTTTACAAATGGCTGCGGTGGGCATTCTGACACTGGAGGGAACTGACGTGGTGTCACTGACATCCACAGTGACACTGTAATGGCAACTTTGGGAATTCCAGGTAAAACTCTGGACACGAACTTGAGGAAAACAAACCTTTTATTTACTAGTGCTGGTTGACTTAGCAAGGACTCGTGTCTGCAAGCTAAGTGTCATGAAAAAGCATCTTACAGGGTATACATCTCAGCAATTATGTCACAATGCATACATTTCCTCTTTCACTTTCTGTACATTTAAAAGACTTTCTAAACAATGCAGGATATGGCCTTGCTAGATAAACTTATCTTCAGCTGAAAATAAGGGTACCAGCTACAGACTAAAACACATTATTCCACAGGAAAAAAGGGAGGGGGGAAGTGAGCTGATGACCTTGCTTTTCAAACAGATGCTGGTAGAAATGTTAAAGCTGAAGGGGAACTCTACAATATTTGGGTGCTGCCACAACACCAATGCAGTGCTCAGTGCTAAAAAAAAAAAAGCACTGACACTGTACTAATGGCACTGGGCAGGAAGGAGTTAACATGAGGGGTGATCAAAGGGTTAACTGTGTGCAGGGAGTGTTTTACTAGGGGGCCGTGTCAGTGTGCTTCACTGTAAGCCATCCAAAGCAGTGTGCCTGAGCTGACAGGGAGGAGTACTGTTAGTGAACAAAACAGTCCTCCTCCCCATCGGAGATCCTCGGTAATCACTGGGCACAGGTGAGTAATCACCAGCCGGGACCGTTGATTGACAGCCGCAAATGGCTGTTAATCATGTACGTGATTTTACACACCAGTGCCGCCCTGTAGCAGTATTCCTATAGGGCGGTCTGGAAGCGAGTAAATCCTGGGGACCTGTCCTTTGCTACTTATTAGTCTGCAGAGATAACCAGGATATTTTATGAAACTTTCAACGGTCAATATAATCTAATTTATCTGAAATTGTGGTTCTTGTTTGTTTTCTATGGTGTTCACCAGGTATGGTGTTGATTCACAACTGCTGAGGAAGACTTTCCCTGGGAAACATGAGGATATTTACCTTTGCTCTAATCATTCATCTGTTCCCTATTTTCTTTCTAATCATCTCCCAAGATAATGACAAGGGGTTGGTTTACTAAAGGCAAATAGTCTGTTCATTTTGCAAGGGAAATTGTACTTTGCAAGGGACTTTCCCCAA